ATATGATTTGTTGAATGTAAAACTGATGATCTGCCCTGCAAACTTTCACTCAATTCACAATAAAAACTTTAAAAACAAACAAACAAAATAAAATAAAATATAGAACAACGTCTTTGTGGGCTATTTTATGCAAATTGACCTTGATGTCTCCTGAGGCTAAGATCCTCAGCCTCAAAGCCCAGTAAGTCATTCTCTTAAGGTGCTTGGTGGCTATATAGTTTTCATATACTACATATACTCTACTATACTCATGAATTTACATATATTTGCAACATATGCAAATACATCTGTAGAGACATCCTTTGTCAAACTTATGTACTTGTGGCTATAGTTCCATTCACATTCCCACATCTGTTTAGCTTGCATATCTATGTATACACTTTCAGATTATTGTTATTATTATTATTGCAGCATTGTGTGTGTAATACATCTCTCATCTGTAACTCTTCTTCTCCTTCCAGTGTCTTCCTTGGCCTTGATCATTTTGTGCTCTGTTGTTGTTGTTAAGTACCATTGAGTTGGTTCCCACTCATAGCAACCCTGTATAGGGTTTCCAAGGAGCAGCTGATAAGTTTGACTCACTGACCTTGAGGTTCAAACAGATCTTGCTGTCCTGTGCTTATCTTACAGTGCCACACCACAACTCCATGTTTGAAGTTAGTCAATCACAAAAGGATAAATATTGTATTATAAAAAATCAGGAAAAATTTTTCACACAGAACAAAACATTCTTTAAGGGCTATATGGGTGGGAGAAAACAAAGAGTAAATCACTAGCTAGAGGATGGTGATGGTGGTGTGCTGTTGAGTCAGTTCCGATTCCTAGTGACCCTGTATAGGGTTTCCGAGGCTGTTAATCTTTACGGGAGCAGAAAGCCTCATCATTCTTCCATGGAATGGCTGGTAGTTGCGAACTGCTGACTTTAAGGCTAGCAGCCCGACTCGTAACCACTATGCTACCAAATATGTATTAATTTGGATGAAGGGGAAGGCAATATACATTATGGGACTCACCGGCACTTAACAACAACCACTGTCACTTAACAACAACAAATTCACACATAGGAACACTGTGGCTATGTAGGATAAGCACAGGACTGCTAACCAGGAGGTTTAAGCCTGCCAGCCACTCCACGGGTCAAAGATGAAACTTTTATTCTCATAAAGACTAGAAACGACACGACTGTACAGGGTCTCTATGAGTCCAAACCACAGGGTGAATGATAGCACTTAACCACAACACATTCACTCAGCATAATGCCCTCCAGGTTTATCCATATTATAGGGTGTTTCACAGATTCATTGTTATTCTTTCATGTTGCATGAATTTGTTAAATGCTGTCCAGTCCATTATAACTCATAGCACCCTGTATAGGATTTCTGAGGAGTAGCTGGTGGGTTTGAACCACTGACATTGTGGGTAACAGTCCAGTGCATGTCCTATAATGACACACATGCTGCACGGTATTTCATTATATGTATTTACATCCACCGCAATCATTTTCCCTCTCTGAAACAGGCTGTGTTCTATTGACTACTAAACTTTTCAGTGCATACATATTTGCTGATTGAATAGTTGCTTTGTAAGATGCCTTTGGATTGGACAATGAGATCCTGCTTCCTACTAGTTAGTTGGTTGCGTTCTTCCTTGGGTTTCTGCAGACCTCAGGCTACTTAAAGTGATAGATAAAAATGCCTAAAAATGAAGTTTCTTTGCACACATATCAAGGTAGACACCAAAGTTTCTAAAAAACTTTTGCAAATTATTCCATATTGAGTTAGAGAAATAAGATGATCCCTTAGAAGTAACTAAAGATAACAACTATCTGTTGCCATATTTGTTTTTTCTGGCACTTGTTTTGCGTCTGTTTCTGAAAAACGATAGTTTCTTCATTTCCCCTGAGAAATGTAAACTAAAGCCTTGATCACATGACAACAAATAATTCTTTATCTCTTTTCTGACATTAGGGCAAACCTGGATTTCCTGGCTTTCCTGGTACACAAGTAAGAAAATATTTTTTGACCTGCCAACTAGTATGCAGTATTTATCATCTGCTTGTATTTATTTATTTACATTTAAGATTCTGTTTTTTATTCTATTAAGGGAGAAGATGGAGACCCGGGCCACCAAGGAGAGAAGGGGATGAAGGGAATTAGAGGGAAGAGGGTAAGAACCAAAAGAATTTCCCGACATCTGAGTCTCCACATCACAACATCCTACTCACAGGTGTACATTTCCATTGGGTTAATGGACTTTTTAGCAGGGAGACCATGTCCTCCTCAGTCAGTACATGTTCCACACCTTCCTTAAACTGCTCCCACCCCTCACTGCATCCCATCTTCCTTTATTCTGAATGATAATGATATTTATATTTATATTTATATTTATATTTATTCTGAATGATAATGGAACTTAAGATCAGCACTGGACTTTGAACCACAAGACGGAAAGTTCAAATCCACTAGCTGCTCCTCTGAAACTTACAGCATCATCGCTATAAGTCAGAGCTGACTCAACCCAAATCAATGCAAGGTGGGTTTGAACCACAATGTCAGTGGTTCCGACTCACCAGCTGCTCCTCAGAACCGACTCAACGACACTTAACAACAACAACAATTACAACACAAAAACCAATTTGGAGTTTCAGTTTTGCATCATTAACCCTTTAAACAAGTTTGGGGTACATTTGCTTTAGGTAAGTAAGTCTGCATATCACGTTACTGTTGTTGTTAAGTGATGTCCAGTAGGTTCCGACACATAGTGACCCTGTATAGGGTTTCCAAGGAGCAGCTGGTGAGCTTGAACTGCCTACCTTGCAGTGCACTAACCCATCGCGCCACACCAGGACTCCACATATCACATTGTTGTTGTTGTTGTTGTTGTTGTTAAGTGCCATTGAGTTGGTTCCAACCCATAGCTACCCCGTATATGGTTTCTGAGAAGCAGCTGGTAAGCTTGAACCACTGAGCCTGCAGTTCAAAGCAACTTTGCAGTCCAGTGCATTAACCCACAGTGCCATACCAGAACTCCTTATGTCACATGGAGGGGTATTTTAGTAGCAAAAGAAATATTGATGTTTCTTTAAAATTTTTCTAAGCCTAACTTGCTCTTAGCTATTTGAGGATGAGACTCTGAAGACCGTGGCTGCCATGTTGGTTGACTTCAAGTCACTGTTCTTTATTGAGTCTACTATTAACAATCCATCCCTTTAGATACTGAACAGTCAGTCTTAAATAGCCAAAATCACTGGCAAGTCTTTTGGGGAAGAGTAACCTCTGGGTATATAAAGCCTTGGTGGTGTTTAGCTGATAGACCGGAGAGAGCAAAAGACTTCTTGCAGTCTTGCTATTTGACCTTAAGGCTGACTAGTAATTGAGTCACATTCTGAGGCTGTGTTTTGAAGTGTGTTTGTCTGTGTGCATGCATACATACATACATGGCAGGGGTAGCTATGTAGGTAGATATATGGATGGTTCCCATAAAGAAACCCTCCTCTCTTTCTAGTCTCTATCTCTTACTTCACTGATGCATGATTCAGAAACTAGTCCATAACAGATTTATTAGACCTTAGATTTAATGGCAACTCAGGATCTCACGGTGGGTCTGGTAGTTGCTTTATTTTGGGCAGTTGGAAATAACTAAGTTGTAATCAAAGGGGAATCTCTTTGATTTTTTTTTTTTAGGGTAATGCTGGCTTTCCTGGATTTGCTGGGATTCCAGGGGATCAAGGCCCACCAGGGCAAATGGTAACATTTTCTTTTTTTCCCAATCTTTATATAAAAGTACATAAGGATTTGATAGGAGACATTTCCAAGCAGAAATGAACATTTGGGAAATATGAAAGGATTTATATTGGAAATGGACCAAGTTGGCTACAGAGAACATTAGCTGCAAGTCCTTATGCAGTATCATTATCTGGTGTGTATCTTCTCACTTGAACATAAGAAGATACTGGAGTTTGCTGGAGATTTGTGAATTGGTCTGAATAAATAAAGCTCACTAGAGATTCGGTTTATCAAAATAAACATGATCAGCAATAACATTTATGTAAAAAAGCAAAAGAAAATCCTAACAAAATATGCCATTTATGTATTCTTACTGAGCTAACAATGCTGTAAGTTTACAAACACTTAAAAAAATGTCCTGGAAGGTAATTTTGTATGAAAGGACAGAGTTTGAGATTGCTGTTGGTCTGTCCCATGCCTTGTTCTTGGAGGCGAGCCTGTTTAATTCTTCAAAAGAGGACATAATGGGTTTACCTGGTGGTTTCACTGTTGTTTAGGGTTTACTAGATAGGTACAACAAAGTTATAGAGTAGAAAATCTTAGAGACAGAAGGACAATTTGTGCCCATTTCATAGATGAGAAGACAAAGACTGAGAAGATTATAGTGACCTGCCTGAAGTTGCATATTGCTACTTTGTACAGTCTAAAGTTATAAAATAAAAAGTGTCACTTTGATGACTAAGCTATGTATGATCTTTTCAATCACTTGAGATGTATGTGAAAGTTGGATAATGAAAAAAGATCAAAGGAGAATGACACATCAGAATTGTGGTGTTGCTGAAGAATATTGAATATACCTTGGATTGTCAGAAGAACCAACAAATCTGTCTTGAAGGAAGTATACCCAGAATACTTCTTAGAAGAGAGGATGATGAGACTTCCTCTTTTTTACTTTGGATATGTCGTCATAAAAGACCAGTCTCTAGGAAAGGACATGTTTGGTAAAGTGATGGGTCAGCACAAATGAAGAAAATTCTCTATGAGACAGACTGACAGACTGGCTGCAACAATGGGCTCAAACCTGCTGCTGACTGTGAGGATGGTGAAGGACCAGGTAATATTTCATTCTGTAGTAGCCGAGGTCTCAATAAGTCAGAGTCAACTTGATGACAGCTACCAACAATGGAGTCTAAATAAGAACAAAGATCTTTCAACTATCAGAATGGCTAGAGCCAGGCAGCTCCAATCTAATGAGCACTGGGTAAGACTTGGTCAGCACAAAGGCTGAGACAGGGAGTATTGGAAGGTGCCTGGAGAAGGGATGAAGAAGGAACTGGATCTACTTTACAATTGCCTCTGAATAATCCTAGGTTGTTGAGTAGCCTTTTTCTGAATTTGGTCCTAAATTGTGACTTGGTCCCCAAATGAACTGGTCTTCTAGGAGTATGTATTATCTCCCTGAATCTCCTGGACTCTGAGGTTTAGAATATATCACTGGGCACTTCAGCCTCCTTTCTTCTAGGGCTGTGCCTGAAGGGAAGAAAGTAGTCTACCATGGTGAGCTTCTTCAGAATCTCTTGCCACCTCTGGAGAAGAATATGTTGGACCTCAAGATCACATTTTAATGTGAAATTTCTCTTTTTCCAGGGTGTCAAAGGTCCCAAAGGTTTGGTAGATATGATGGTAGGTGAAGATTTAAATTTTAAACTTTATTCTTTCCAGAACACAAAAGTTTCACTTTCACAAAATAGAAACCTAATCTTAAAAGATTCTTTAGTTTTTTTCTCTTATATGTTCTTTCAGTACTATACCTTTATAGACTTTATTTTGAAATGTCATAACTAAATAAAATAAAAATGAGCAGAATACTATTTCAAATCTAGTAAGGAATTTGAATGTTTTTAAGTACTACTTGTGGTGGTGGTGGTTGCATGCTATCGAGTCGATTCCGACTCACAGTGATCCTGTATAGGGATTTTGAGGTTGTAAATCTTTTTGGAAGCAGAAAGCCTCATCTTTCTTCCACAGAGAGACTGGTCGATTTGAACCGCTGACCTTGTGGTTAGCAGCCCAGCTCGTAATCCACGAGGCTACCAGGGCTTCTTAAAGTAATACTTGTTGTTGTTGTTAAGTGCCGTCGAGTCGGTTCCGACTCATAGCGACCCTGTACAGGGTTTCCGAGGGTGTAAATCTTTACGGAAGTAGAAAGTCTCATCTTTCTCCCGCGGAGCGGCTGGTAGTTTCGAACCACTGACCTTAAGGTTCGCAGCCCGATTCATAACCACTACGCTACTAATTCACATAAAAGGAAGGACTTTAAGGCTACCATCTTTCTGCAATATGCCCTTTAAAAAGCTAAAACATTTGTTGTATTCAGAAACAAGACAGAGAATAGTATAGGCTTCTGTGTTTCCCTGGAATATCCTGAAAACAGTTTAACAAGTTATGGTTTTCCATCTCCCAGTTACAAAAATACTAACTGGGGTGGGGCTTGGACGGTGAAGGCATCAGAAGAACAGGAAGTGATGGGACCAAGGGAAGAACAGAGCCAAAAGAAAGAATCAAAGGAAAGAAGCAGAATTACTAGAGGAAGTATAAGGTGTACCGGATTTGGGAGCCATTCTAAAGACATGTTATAGGTGTTGCTAATGTAGAAGGTTTAAAAACTGATGGCAATTCCCTGCTAATTACCTTCTATGGTGAGATACCTGGAACGAAAAGTTTTCAAAGTGAAGTTTGATTCTATTGTTTTGTGAGGATTAAAAAAAAAAGTTTACTCTCTTATCCACCTAGGTCCATTACAATGGAAAATACTGTATGTAAGTTTTTTAGTGTGTAAATATAACTGGTGAATGGTTTCATCAGCTCTTTAACAATTTTTGGGTTTTCTGTTGTAGTTAAAAGCTTCAGATTAGGACTGATAATATCCATAGGACATTTCTAAGTCACTAGGGTGAGAAGAGAAGGTGCTTTAATGGCACAGCGGGTTAAGTGTTGGCCTACTAACCAAAAGGTTGGTGGTTTGAATCCACAGTCACTATGCAAAGGAAATATGCCGCAGTCTGCTCCTATAAAGATTTAGAGCCCTGGAAACCCTATGGAGCAGTTTACTATGTCCTATAGGGGCATTTTGAGTTGGAATTGACTTGAAAGCAGTGGACTTGGGCTTGGTTTAGCATGAAGAGAAATATAAAATACTTCAAATTAAACATTTTCCCTTTTTCCATCTTCCTCTGTCTTTCTAACAGCCCTGTGAAATTGTCACTCTCACACGGGAAAACTGCCGTAAGTTGTCTGGGAAATTCTCACAAGGAGTCAGTAGTTTGAGTGGGGCTGGATTGAGGGCACAAGTCCCCTGTGGATTTGGCTGAGGTTTAGGAGGTACCATTGTCTTTAGTGAAAGAGTCTCATGAATCAATATATTTGACTCAGTACCTCCATTGGGTAAGTAATCATTTACAATGTGATCTCAGAAGTAAAATGGTTGAGAAGTTAATCATCTCAATGATGAAGACAAATCCCACTGTACAATACAATGAAATGCAATGATAATTGCATACTTGCATATCTTAGTGGAACTTAATCATGTTTTGTTCTTTTCAATCTCATTCATTTAAATGAGAGAGAGCAACAGTAACCCCTCCAATAAGAAATGAGGAGACCACAAGGTTGGACTGAATCACAAGTTGGTGGTTCAAACTCACCATCCACTACTTGGAAACCCTATATAGGGTTGCTATGAGTCAGTATTGATTCAACGGCACTTATCAGCAACAATAAGAAATGTGTCCCATTTTACTTACATTTGTTTTTTTAAATAAAATTATGAATCATCAGATTCTAAAATAATGTTTTGTCACATTTCTAGATTGTGATTTACTTACTTTCTTTAATGTGTTCTAGGATATATGCACCCTATAATAATGCTCTTCTTTACTTACTGGCAATAAAGAGAGAGCACTGGGTTGGCAAGTAGCTTAGTTTGAATGCTTGCTGTTTTCTTTACAATCATCTTGACCTTCTTACTTTAATCCTTCCATGTTCTGTATTCCCATCTAGCTGTTGTTTGGGGAGATTCTGGAATATCTTTCCTAAAAATCATGAAAAAAGTCTACCATCAGCTTGATCACACAGACACAAAAGGAATGTCAGGCTTAATGGCATTCATGTTAAAAACCCATTTGCATGCAGTTAGAAGTAAACAGAAAAATTGACAAAATATAGGCAATACCAGCAAACGATCCAAGCAAAGGACTCATTTCCTCACTAGATAGTGCTGAAATGTATAAAATTGCTGCTATTCAATCATTTTCATCTACATATGCAGACTGTTCATAATGATTTAAGCTAATATAAAGTGCATTCTATTTTTAGATTGAAAATGAACACAAAGATTAAACAGAGAATACAGGGAATGAAAAAATTACAAAGAGCAATAAATTTATGAAAATGTTTAGCTTCACAAGAAGTCAAAGATTAGAAATAAAATAATGAGATCCTTTTGTTTCTCAAACTGGAATTTCTCCCATATTTTGCTTTTCTCTTCTATTTTAAAAAATTATTGTGGTAACATATACATACAAAATATTTGCCATGTTAGTTATTTTTTAAGTGTTGAATCAAGTGGCATTTATTGTATTTGCCATACCATTATCTATTTCCAAAAATTTTTCATCCCCCAAACAGAAACTCAGTACCTCTTAGCAATAGCTTCCCATTGACTTTTTCCTCTAGCCCCTGGTAACCACTAACTTTTATCTCTATGCAGTTGCCTATTCTAGATATTTCATATCAATGGGATCATGCAATGTTTGTGTCTGACTTATTTCACCCAGCATGTTTTCAAGGTTCATCCATGTTGTAGCATGCATCAGAATTTCATTTCTTTTTATGATTGAATAATATTCCATTGTATACTACATTTTGTTTATCTGTTGATCTGTTGATGGAATCTTGGGTTGTTTCCACCTTCTGGCTATTGTGAACAGCGCTGCAATGAATATTGATGTACATGGAAATATTTTTAAATGGCAAAAAACAAAACAAAAAAAACCACACCTCAAATCGCTTCCAAAATCTTATAACTGTATTAAGTATGTATCATTAGTGATAGTGTACATTGGTGCAGCCTTTCGGAAGAGCAATTGGTGGTGATGGTGGTGGTTATGTGCCATGGAATAAATTCCGGCTCATAGCGACCCTGTATGGGGTTTCTGAGGCTGTAAATCTTCACAGGAGCAGAAAGCCTCAACTTTCTCCTGTGCTGATGGACTCAAAACTACTGACTTTATAGCTAGCAGCCTAATGCATAACCTACAATGCTACCAGGGAGTTGTAAACACAATCCACTTAGCTCTCTGGCTCCATTCAACTTGAATAATCCATTAGATATAAAAGATTCTGGAAGAGAATAACATTGAGGAGAAAATTGAGTTTTCCATTTCCCTGACTCCTTCTTGCTGCCTGGCCAGGCCACGAGTTTCTGAGGTTTTCCAAGAATATAACTATTCAGGAGTGTTGATACCACATTTAACTCCTATTATTTTACTAATAACATCTTTACTTCAGCAGTTAATCACATATTAGCTTGTGATGTTCCTTGGTTGCTATAATCAACTATTAATATTGCTATTATGTTGCCTGTATCTTATCTTCTTGTAATGATTGTAAACTCCTTGAAGGCAGGAATTGTCTCTTAGCAAAGGTATAGAGTAGATATATACATACCAACCCCCCCCCCAAAAAAAAAAAATAAGCCCCAAATCAATTGTCTTCCAGCTGATTCTAACTCATGGCCATCCCAAAGTACTTTAGAGTAGAACTGAGCTCCACTCGATTTCCAATGGCTGGGATCTTTTGGAAGTACTCCCTAACTTAGGATTTATTTGACCAGCTCAATATTTTTTTCTTCATTTTTAAATTGAGCCCAGACAAAAGAGCATTCACCAGTATAAAAAATTCATCATAGTCCTTTGCTAAGTTCTGTTTCATCCAGATCCCTATGCTTCTAGGTTCTTCTCTCTCCTACTCCAGGAAGAGCAATTAGATAATAATTTATCAAAATCCATTACTATGGAGTTTTATCTCAGGAATATAACTGGACAATTATGCACCTATATGTGTACAAAGATATACCACATAGGTGTACTGACTGAAGAAACCATGGCACATCTATATAGAAGAATAATACAGAGTCATTGTGAAAGATTACCATACTCTAAATTTATTGATGGAATTAAGGATAATTTTAATTTCTGATTTTTCTAGTATTTTTCATGAACATGCATTATGTACACTTATACATAACAAATAGCATATAGCTAATACATATATGAAGGGTCTTCAAAAATTTCATAGAAATGCCTATTATAAAAAAAACTCTGTACGGATTTAAAAAATGTTAGTGCCAAAATCAACCCATATTAACTTGCTATAACATATCAGAACAAGATCTAGTCTGAGGCACTTAGAATGATAAGGCATCAGTTTGACTACGGTCCCTATCAGATCAACATGGATCTGGCTAAGATTGGATTAAGAACAAATGTCTAATTTATGGTGAAATGTGCATGAAGAATGATGAAATCATCGATGCTTTATGAAAAGTTTACAGGATAATACCCCAAAGAAGTCAGCAGTTTACAAATGGATAACTCATTTTAATTTTAAGAAGGGATGAAATGATGTTGAAGATGAAGCCTGCAGCAGACCATCCACATAATTTGTGAGGAAAAAAATTAATCTTGTTCATGCTCTAACTAAAGAGAACCAATGATTAGAAGCAGAAACAATAGCCAACACCACAGATATCTCAATTGCTTCAGCTTAATATTTTCAAGGTTCATTCATGTTGTAGTATGTATGAGAACTTCTTTTTATGGCTGAACAATATTTCCTCGCATAATGCATTTTGTTTATCCAGTCATCTGTTGATGGACTGAAGAAATCATGGTACATCAATATAGAAAATAATATATAGTCATTGTATATACACACAATTCTGACTAAAAATTTAAAGTCGAACAAACTTTTCATTTGCTGAGTGCCAAAACTGTTGCGCTCAGATCAGATGCAGAGAAGAGGAGAGCTTTCCACGGAAAATTTTAAACAAGTGAGATCAAGATCCTGAAGCATTTCTTGTAAGAATTGTGACAGAAGATGAAAAATAGCACTATCAGTACATTCTTGAAGATAAAACATACTCAAAGTAATGGCTACAAAGAGATGAAGTGGCTCTAGATTAACGAAAACCAAAGATTACGGCAACAGATTTTTGGTATGCTCAAGGCATGTTTTCATTGTTTTTTTTTTTTTTTTTAATTTACTACTGCTTTTAAAAAGTTGTTATTTTTTACAATGTTTTTAGAAAGATAGATGAACAAGACATCACATTTCAAGTCATTTTGATCTGTAATGTAATTAAATAGAAGGATTGGTTTATATTCCCCTATGGGTCTTTTTCTAAAGTTTTTATTGTGAATTGAGTAAAGGTTTACAGGGCAGATCATCAGTTTTACATTCAATAAATCATCCAAGGCGTTTTTGTTGATTTCCTGTAAGGCCAAAGAATGATAACATCTGTTTATAGCAAGAGTATTTTAGTAAGCCAAAAAGAAAGTCAGCCAAAGAGTTAGTAGAAAAGTGTCAGGGAACACTTCACCAGAGAGTCCTCACAACAATTGCGCATCTGCTCATTCCTCCCATCAAACAAGGGCATTCTCAAGAGTTTTTATGGGAAATTATTAGAATCTACTTTACTCCTGATTTGGCTCCTTCGGATCTCTCTTTATTTTCTAATCTTTAAGTTAACACTAAAAAAGATACTGCATAAACATGGTTAAATCCCTAGGATCCTGAATTCTTTAGGGATAGACTAAATAGCTGTTATCATTGCTTACAAAAGCAATGAACTTGACAGAGCTTTTATTGAAAAATTAAGTTATTTTTTTTTTATTTTTATCTTTTAATTCAATTTTTTTTGCCATGAAAAATTTGAAGTCCCCTTATATATATTATACAGTGCTAGAAATAAGGAGCTCTGGTAGCGTAGTGGTTACGAATCGGGCTG